TATATGGGGTACTGAATATTCCGCATTTGGCCTCTCACACTAATAAATACATCCACTCTCAATATACATAACAAAGAAAAACAAGAAGAGATATACAAAAAGTACTATATGTAGTAAAACCACATTGTTTCTTCTGAAAATTGGAACAACTCGCTGCCGTGCTCAAACACAATTATCACATCGGAAGGCATTACTACACGCTCCCTTTATGTATCCAAGGAATGACAACCTTTAATTAAGTGGTGTCGACACATGGAGCAACTTTCTCTTCCTGCTGGACACTCGCTTGCTTTGGCCCAAAAGTAAGTATCAGTGTGTCAATGGCCTATTCTTGGTTGTGTGAGTATGACCCTCCTTCTTCCGTTCTGATCCTCCGGGGCCACCTATCGACCGAGATTTTAATACACGAGAGCTTCCTCGCCAAACCAGCCCACCGACAATTGGTGTAATATTCTGTTTAGAATAATGAAGTTACATGAATGTAAAAAAAGTAGTAATCAATTAAATAAGCGTCTCGCCTCTCCCTGTTTATATCCCAGACGTCGCGCCATTTAACTCCGTCAATGTTTTTTAAATAGATCCAAGCTTTCTGACTGCTTCTAAATCTAATTTCGGGAAAATGTATGATAACTGGCTGCAGAAACTTAATTTCTTGCATCAAATAAGAGCGAGGAATTGTTCTGCTTTCCTATTCAAAATGTTTCAATAAAGAAATTCTTTTCATTAATAGTTTCATTTATCTTTGGGATTTGTCAAGCGTTTTCTGCAGAGTGTGAACCTGAATTTGGTCGTTTTCGATCTGGTTGAGTTTGTCTGAAGACGCGTTTCGGCATTTGGCCATCTTCAGCTTGGGCCTTCCAAAACCTACACAAATGGCACAATTACACAGAAGACAAACACTTTGAGTGAGTAGAAATACTTTGATTGAATATATAAAAAATATATTTTGCATTGTATAAATTCACTTTTCCACATCCAAAATGTAATTGTTATATGTAAACAATGTTTGTAAATCCCAGGCCCTGAAGATGATCTCAATAAAGATCGAAACGTTGGCACGATAAAGAAAATGTTTTTCTGAAACCTACATCACACCAGACCGCATCTCACGATTTCTAAATAAATATCGATTAATGGTCACTAATCACCACACATTTCACACACACACACACACACACACACACACACACACACACACACACACACACACACACACACACACACACAAATTTTTACTTAAAAAAAAAAATGGAGATTGTTATGATTATAACTTTGACAATATCTGGTTGAACCGACAATATTTGTATAATAAAAGCGTCTTTTTTATGCTGAATAGATAGCAGGTGGAAATAGACGCAGATCCGAAAGTATGTTGTTTCACTACAAGTGTAGTTCGGTTTGTTCTTTGTTGAAAGGGAGGCTGAATTAGTATTTAAATACAGAAAACCCGCAGATTTTCTGCTTCTATGAACTGAGTACTTCCGCGGAATCGTGCACGCTTAGTACATTATCGTTCTACTGCATACCTCAAATTTTGCCTTAATTGGTGTTTTTCCGCTAGAACGGTTTCCATTTAAGCCCATCCATCTATTTCCACCATGAATATTTCTTACAAATAGAAAGGGATTATTTGCATGAAACGTTGCGCGGGATTATCAAGCTAAGTGTGCCAAACTCGGCGCAACTCGGCTTTGCCAATTAAGTTTATAGAGAAAGGCTAAATGAATAACCGACATTGAATCAACGTCTCTCCTGAAACACCTGAGGCGTCATCAAGACACATGACGCTCCTCTACCCACGGCCCCGTCTAATCTGTATTTATCACCTCCCCCTTCTGCGGAGCCGGTTATTTATTGCATAATCAAAATATATTAAAGAGAGTGTGTGTTAAGCAAATTGGCGCCTCTAAAGTCTTGTTTCCGACCGTAATTATTATTAATAACTAGTCCGCAGTTGCCCAATTACATTAGGGTTGGGCCCAGGAGTACATATTGGGTTAGGAAAGGGAGTGGGATCAGGTGCTAAACGCCTCCTCGGACCTCTTTTGCACACAAATCTTTATATTTACTTTTTTTTTACATCCCTTATATTAGGTTTTAAAGTCTGGGCGGAAAACTATTATTCTCTTTACTTTATTACACTTCATAAAATAAGGAGAGGCCAATTCAGCCATTTAACAGCATTTTGATATTTTAGAGAATGATGTATGCTATCTATGCTTGAATCTTTAAGGATTCAATCGGATAACATTCATAGTGAAATTCGATTCTTTTAACCTTTTGAATATTAGTGATAGCAATGCTGTTTTAAAGGCAAAAACTTCTCTTATCCTAGTAGTTTTTAAAGAGCCATTCTTCGGGGAAAAAACGCAATTGAGTAAAAAGGCCACAGTAAAGATCACGCAACGTCAGGGTTATAAGTAGGGAGAGGCTGATCTGAAGAATTTGATGATTGACAAAGGCATCCAAAGCAAACAATCTGCTACAAAGTCTTGTTGCATTAATTCTAATTGATCAAAATATTTTTCTCCATGAAATGAAACTTCATATAATTCATGTAGACAATTTAGCCTAACTAACTAATAATGGGCAGAGTTCCTGCAATCTCAGACAAAGTATAAGTCAAAAAATTTTTTAATTAAAATTAAAACTTTTCATTCAGGAGGGAAAATTCAAAAGGTGGGGTTGAGATGGGAAGGTAATGCCCGAGGGAATCGAAGTATGGTAGAGTAACGGCGTATCAAGCCGAAGATCGTGGGTTCGAATCTCGCTTGTGACACTGACTTTTTTATCTCAACTTAAAACCGTAATTAATTGGATTACAACTTTTATTAAAACTTTGATTATCTGGTTAAACCGACAAGATTGTATAATAAAAGCTCTTTTTTATGCTGAATAGAAGCAGATGGAAATAGACGCAGATCCGAAAGTGTGTTGTTTATCTACAATGTAGTTCGTAGATGATGGGTTTTGGTCAAAAATTTTGTTTATCTTTTTTATCTACCAAGACACCTTTCATACCAGACTTCTTTCTAAATCAAGTAGCCGTCTATATTTCAAATTTGAGTGGATTACATCTCTAAAGCTCCTATTCAATGACAAGGCCATAGTAAGGTGGTGCGTCGTCAGGGTTGTAAGTAGGGAGTGGCAATGCAGTGATGATTGTCAAAGGCAAACTATGTACTGCCAAGTCTTGTTGCATTAATTCTAATTTATCAAAATATTTTTGTCCATGAAATAAAACTCCATATAATTCATGCAGACTATATAGTCTACCTAACAGGTGAGTAATGCACAGATTTCCTGCAATCATAGACAAAATGTAAGTCCAAAAGAACTTTAAAATTTTTTCCCTACCCAAAACACTTTTCACACCATACTTCTTTTTAAATCAAGTTGCCATCTCAAAATTTATATATATTAATATTTCAAAATTGAGTGGATTACATCTCTAACGGTCCTATTAAATGAAATGGTCATAGTAAGATGATACGACGTCAGGGTTATAAGAGGCACTGACAAATTTAACTGTAAAGGCAAATAATGTACGCGAGAGTATAGCTGCATGAATTCTAGTCGATTAAAATATTTTTCTACTTAACAAAACCCCATAAAATTTGTGCAGTCCATATAGCCCTGAAAACTTAGACAAGTTGGAAGTGTAAAAAAAAATGTAATTTCCCTAAAAAAACACCTTACCTACCAGGTCTCTTGATAATTCAAGTAGCCTTAACATTGATAGAATATTTCAAAATTGATTAAATTGTTTTCCCTTTTTAACGGTCCCATTGAATGGTAACGATCTCAACAAGGTGGTGCGACGTCAGGTTTATAAGCACGGAGTGGCGTGCGTTGACAAATTTAATATTCTTTCTAAGGCGAACTGTATCCAACAGGGTTGCTGCTGATTTTAAAGCTCAGGGTCAGCATGCCGGCAATTTGAAACATGCTGAAAGTGCTAATCATATTCTTAGTGCTTGTAAATACCAGCATAACAGCATAAGTAACATTAACCCACGGGCTGCCCGTGTTTTTGAAAAAAAAAGAAGTTTATGTGCCTTAACCGTTGAGACCACCGACGCCCCTGGCAACCCTCTTGGTCTGTCAAATAATCTTGTCGGACAATTGATAGAATATTTAAAAAAAAGTAAATATTTGAAAGTTCAGAGGAAAATATTTAAAAGAACCGCTCTTTCGAAAAATGATACTGTTGACTGGAAAATACCAATTAAAGAGATACAACATCAGGGTATAAGCCGGGAGGAGCATGACTGTCAGGCATTTCAACAAATTTTGTGCTGGACTCTTGTAAATTTTTTTTCAAGTCGGTGTATATTATTTAATGGTTGATCTTACATTAGTGTCAATTTGGAATATACCGCAAAACAACTTCATAATTCCACTAAGCATCATGCCCATTACTTGGACTTTAGTGCATGCGACAAATCATGAGGGTATAATCATGATCGGATATTCCAGACAATAACTATCGTCCACTTCAATCAAATTTAAAACGCCTAATTAAAACGGTTCAGTATTTTGTAACGATACCCCTTTTCAATCTGCTGCATAAATTTATCCTGTTTCAGTTAGGTGCGACTCAATAATTTGTATGTAGAAGTTTTATTTTTGTTAATAAAAGTTAACGTAATTGTTAGCAATTGTTTATTGTTTATTTATAAAAAATACAGTTTATTGAAAAAGTAGAAAGAAATAACCTGAATTGCCCGGAATTCTTTAGAAAAATTAATGCATATTATAATTATTAAGGAACTTACAGGTTATTAATTTTTTTATATAAACTTTTAGTATTTCAAAAAAGGATTGTTTTATACATGAGAAAAAATCTGAAACTTCTCATCTTCCGACTTCTTTATTATCGGGGACAAACTTTTCCCAAATAAACAATTCTCTATTAAACGGATTTGAACAAGAAATGGAAGAGGGCCGAAACGCGATAAAGGAAATGTACACGGATCATATTGGAATTTATATTTTACCTTTTATAACAGGAAACAGCGGGGGAGCGAACTGCGGCGGGAAGAACAGTGGCGGATTCCTCGAAGGAAGGCCCGCTTCCGACACAGGGCGGAAGCCAACTCTGTGGAAATAAGAAAAAGTGAAAACAATAAAAACAAAGTCACACCACATTTATCACTCTGACAATAATAGTTATAACATATAGGCAACCGTTAAGAAATGAAGAGTGGAATAATTCATTTCCAGGGAACATCATATTCCTTTATTTTTCCAAAGTCATCAAGTAAGCAGTTTGGATTTTAAATTCGTCAAAAAATAACAAAGTTATGCCAAAAAGAAACCGGCAGCGTAATTAAGACGAGGAGCTGAATATTTTACTGTATGTTCGCGAAATTTCAAATTCCTCTCTCCGAAATGTGGGAAGGGTTTTAGGTTTTTCAAAAAATAAAATTAATGATGTACTCCGGACTTAATTTTAAGCCGTATCGGTCTCATTTTGTCCAGGGACTTCGGGACTCTGTCTATGACTGCTGTCTAACGTTCCTTGCATAAATGTCGATTTGGGAAGGTGAAGAAGACGTTCCTCCATACATCCTATGGACTGATGTATCCAAGTTCACCTCTAACTGTCTTGTCATCATCAGTTGGTTCACAGTATCAACGTTTGGTGCATTCTTCTCGGAAATAAATTAATTGCTCCATCTTTCTACGAAAATAGTTTAAATGATGCTCAGTTCCTCAATTTTTTGAGGGAGGTTTTTGTCTGGTTTTTCCCCAAACTTTTTGATGTATTCAAGTTCACCACTAATCGCATACTAAACCGTTGGAATTTTCGAACGTGGGCAGAGAAAAATCCGAGAATTTCGTACTCTTGTCATCATCAGGTGATTCCCAATATCAACGTTTGGTGCAGACTTCTCGGAAATAAATTAATTGCTCCATATTTCTACGAAAATAGTTTAAATGATGCTCAGTTCATCAATTTTTTGAGGGAGGTTTTTGTCTGTTTTTTCTCAAACCTTTTGCTATAACTTGGTCAATTTTTGACCAATTTAAAATCCGATTGCATCATTGTTTTCAGCGTATTGAATTAAGTTAATCTTTTCGTACTTATACACCTATACTGATATCAACAATATCGATATACTAGCTTTAAAAATCATAGTTTTTAATAACTAGATTATTCAAACCAGTATTATTCAACACTTAATCGACGATTTGCTTATTATTTATTGTTAATTTATATAGGACAGATTTTCAACTATATTTAAAATAATAATTTATCTATATACTACGTACACTGTTTTTCATGATGAAAAAGCTCCTACAGCTATTTTTTGCCGTGGGTGGAACAATATTTGATGCAAATTGGTCGTTTCCTTGTCAGGAGGTTAAGTTCATGTTCAAATTGATTTTGAACACTACTAGTAGACATCATTAGTATATTCTACATTCAAAAAGGAAGCAAAAAGTCCAAATTAACTATGGTCTTAATCTCAGCAGTTTCGGACCTTGCTTCAAATAAACAATGGTAACTCCAAAACTAAAAGGTTTTGGACAAATCCATTGAGACCATTGAAAACTACGTTAAATTTACAATAAGATGTGATTAATACTAAAGTTGTAAACGTTCGTCAAATAAGCAATTTAGTAGCGTGAACTTCGAAAAATAATTTTTTTTTTCAAAGTCGAAAAACTTACTATGGCGATTCTAAACTACTATTTCCAAACCTAGAGACCAGAAAAAGTTCAGAAAACCTACTGCATTTAATATCCTTTTTAGTGGTGTAATTTCTTTTTTAATTACTTTTTTCAAAGATGAAGAAATTGATGGACGAAAAGAAAAAACCGCGGCTGACGGATTGGTAAGGTGGAAAGATTAATAAAAATAAAAAATAAAAAACTTAAGGAAATTTGAATGAATTTATTAAACCTACAAAATTTTGATTTGAAATGCCCTCCACCCTCCGCAATGTATTGTAGACGCGCTGCTGTCGCATTAAACCAGCAAAACCCATACATAAGATGTATATCAGCGTATTCATCATTAGAAAAAGTACCCATGATTAAATGTTAAAAATATATCACATAGATAATTAAAACTCTTTTATTCCGGGAAATAATAATTCCCATCTCAACCCCACCTTTTGAATTTACCCTCCTTTTTGCCATTTTTCAAATGTCTTGTAATCTATTTGATTCTCGGCGACAAATGAATTGGCCATGGAGAGCTTTAGTGAAGTATACTTCATTTTGCTTACAACATTTTATTAGGTTTCTTGGTCCGCTTGACCAAATAAATTCTTTTCAATTAATTAAGGTTTGGGTTGAGATAAAAAAAACAAGAAGGCAAAAAGGAGGGAAAATTCAAAAGGTGGGGTTGAGATGGGAAGTTGGGAAGTTAGTGTCCGAGTCGATCGAAATCCGATAGCTCAAGTGGTAGAGCAGCGGCGTATTTAGCCGAAGGTCGTCGGTTCGAATCCCCCTCGTGACACTGGCTTTTTTATCTCAACACAAACCTTAATTAATTGAAAAAAATTTATTTGGTCAAACTGACCACGAAACCTAATAAAATTTAATTATAATGTTGAAGGCTGACCGCTAATTATACCGGAGAAAATTATAGTAATGTTGATTGTAGTAGTTTCATTCAATGAATTTCCTTTCAATTTAGTCTTTATTGATATTTTCATTAAGAGAACAATGTCATAATATAATGAGCTTCAAATCAGTCGGTCTTAAACATTAATTTAACTTTGAAAACAATTTATCTCCGAGCATTATTTAGAAAATTGGAAATAATTAAAAGAGGGATTAACGTCTTAAGATGTATAATTGACATTTAATTTAGGCTGCCGTCGGCCGTAGGACCGGCTCAAAGGGAATCCTTTTAAAAGGGCGAAATTGAGTTGGAAGAGTAGCGAATTTAGCGAATTTTCATTCAAAAGTCATATCGAAACGAAGGGAGATTAATTCGATGAGAGGTTCCATTCAAGAACATTTGTACGGGCCCCGGGGAGGGTTTGGGTTCCGTCCCTCGGCTCAGCTAAACCAATTAGCCCATCAAATATTAAACAGGAGTTTGTTTTTTAGAGAAAACAAAGTCCCCACGGGCGTGAATAATCGCATTTTGTTTTGAAGGGGGCTTCGCGGGCGAGGCGGGGGATAAACGCGTTACTGACGTCGAGGACGGACTTTGATTCGTGACGCACCTCTAATGCATCCTGCGACGCAATCGGCGCAATTTTACATACCAATGTTGTGTACTGACAAACAACGACTAATTGGAATTAGTTGACTACGCGCTACAAACAACCCTAGGTGAAACGTGTTTAATCCGATACTCTAAATAATTCCCACCACACGTGGCCGCGCCCATAATGTTTTTTATTTCATAAACATCGACATAAAATGTAATGTACGCATTTTCATTATCTTCGTCTAACGTACGGGCGTTTTGTTAATGTGGCCAATTACGACACGTTAAATTATTGGTGTACGCTATTTTCAAAGAGAACGCGATCAAAACTGTTTTAATTCTGACGAAATATTTGACAATAAAACTCTGATTTTACCACGTAATTAATGTGGTTTTATAAAACTGAGCGTAAATCACGTTTTTGAAAATTCATATACTGACTGAGTAAACTGATGAGTTCATATCACCCAACGCAGGCAGGATTACAATTTTATTCTGGTCGTTTTTGATTATTTTGGTCTGTGTGTCCCCAATGTTTAGGTTTGTCAAATGTGACATCAATAGAATGAGCATTGAAGATGGCGAGAAGCCGAAACCCGCCTGACACGACCAAATTATGAAACACCTTTCAACAAACGACCTCGGACCATGGAATCATAATAAAACGTACTTCGCGTCGTATAAGAAGGTCTGCAAATGAACTAAACTTAAAAGTTACAAGGAGGAAATAGAGACCTAACTCATAATTTAGTGGTATGAACGAATATAAGAAATATTCATCTGCTGTGTTCTCATTATTTAACGTTACGTAAAGTAATGCAGATGGCTAGATTATCTGTCTCGATTGACTTCAAACTTTAATGCTACTGATTATAATAATTTAAACAACTAATCAATTATAATATTAACAAATTAATTTTGCGATTTTAAAGTGAATATATACGAAAAATTTATATCAGGACATTTACACCAATTATGTGTGTGCTATGATGGCTCTCTTTCTCTCACTCTCTGTCTCAGTATATCTCCCTTTCATTATTACTCTATTTACCACACTAATGAATCAAATTTACAAAATACTTGGTGTGATGTCGTGAATTTTACTGTTTACAGTTGTGTATATGTTTCATGTGTGATTATTATGTAACTAACATAATTGAATTTATTCATATGGACGCCACTTCTCTATCTCTCTTCTCTCTTCCAGTTTATCTATTTATTTACCTTCGCTGTCTATTTCCATATTTCTTTGTTTCTCTTTCTAACCCGCCTATCTATGAAACTATCGTTAACTCATCTTAAACTATCTATCTTACTACCCTTCTGTATCATGTATATGTATCTCTCTCTCTCTCTCTCTCTATCTATCTATCTATGTATGTATTTATCAATCAAACTACTTTACTGTCTATCTTTCTCTTTTTATCTGTCTATCTATCCTACAGATTTATATCTCCCTCTCTCATTCTCACTCTTTCTCTTTCTCTCTCTTTCTCTTTCTCTCTCTCTTTTTCAAATACATCTAGCTATCTTACGACCTCTCTCTTCTATCTATTTTTCTATCTGTCTAGCTACAACCTATTTATTATATATATATCTGTTTATCTATCTCCTTCTTGCTCTCTCTAGTAGATCTAGCTATTTCTCCTCTATCTATGTAATTATATATCTACCTAGAATTGCTCTACTGTATATTTACAATCTGCCAATTATCTATCTATCTATTTATCGTTCTATATCTAGCTATCTTACTGTCTCACTTTTACTATTTATCTAACTACATATCCGGCGTCCACGACGTTGATGCAGTCTTTCTTCGACATATTAATTTTCGCACATAATTCGCACACTTTAACCCTCATACTTGCAACTTATCTATCTGGAATTTTTCTCTCACTGCCTGTCTGTCTGTTTCTCTCTCA